AGTACAGTATACTCCAGAATATAGTGAAACTACTACATCATGAATTAGGAAAGGCAGACTGCAGGTGGAATTTGCAAGCTCCATTGTTTTTAGCCTTGTGTAAATCAGAGAGATCAGGAAGCCCTTGATCCAGTCTATTTAATTCTGGAGTCGTGTCCAGGGAGTCTGCTGGCACGTCCCTCTGTAGGATGAAGCTCTTACAGATAACATTTGGTTAATCTAACTGATTGACTGATTGGTTGAACATGGCCAGACAGAAACACACAGCTTGCTGGACAGTACGAGACAAGCCCAGGCCACCGAGCAGCAGGAGGGAATTCCGAAACGCCGGAGCACCACGCCCGTGCCCCAGACACCTACCTCCTGCACCTCGGGGCCCGTGAACTTGGGGGCTTTAGGGGCTGGGGGCTCCGCAGGGGGGAGGGTTCCCGCCAGCGCGTCGAAGGGGTCAGCCGCGTGCTTCTTCGCCTGCAAGGAAGCCCAGACCCGGATCAGATTCCCGGAGCCACCGGAACCGGATCCAAACCCCGAACAACACCCACCAGCTCTGAACACCCAGGGACAAGCCTCTCGGGTGACGGTCCTTGTGTAGGAAACCGTGTTCCACAATCTCCATCAGTGCTCAGCTTGAAAGACGTTTTCTGGTAAGCTCCAAACTGGCGTATCGCTGCTCAAAACATTTCCAAGCTCCTGGAATTAACTTGCCTGCGTTGTATGTTTCACACAGCCCTCACTGAACGAGAAAGATTTTGAAAGGACACCAGGAGACACACGACACCCGAACAGGCTCAGCTCCCCTGAAAATGTGCCCTGGCAGGACCCTTGACAGCTGTGTGCAGCAGAGGCAGTAACATGAAGGATATTTCACCGGTAGCGACACTACGTCAGCGTGAAAGCACCTCCGTGACACAACAGCCCAGTGCTTGAAGTGCAACAGCCATTACAACACACAATGCTGTTGCACAACTCACCCCAGGGTCAGGATGCAGCCCAGATCGAAAAGATGTTTGAACCAAAAGTGACAACTGTTAGAAGTGTGTAACACACTCAGAT